GAATGAGTCCTGTGCGAAATGTCATGAATTAACCTGATTCAGTCATTCATCGAGCATTTATTGAGCAACTACCTCACGCCACACATGTCTCCAGATAGCGTGGTTCTTTCTTCCTTCCTTCTGTAGCTCTTCAAACATTATTTAGCAATTACTGTTCAAAGGGAACAATATTAGGAGCTGGAGGAGACTGAGATGAATTAAACATGGAACTTTGTCTCAAGAAGCTAACAACCCCTAAGTAGAGAGAAAACAGGGACACAGAGGTTTTGTTTCATTTTGTTTTGTTTGTTGACTCCCTTGAGTCCTGGTGGATATTTTTTTTCCTGGGAATGTTTGGTCCTTTCTGCCTAGACTGCCCTTTCTCATGATTTTCTGGAGGTTTGCCCTTAGCCTTTGAGATTCAGTTCAAGGCCAGCTCCTTTGTCAAGTCTTCCCCGAAGCCCTTCCCCATCCCTGCTCTGAGCCAGTGTAACACTCTATGCACACCTTTAATATAAGTTCGTCTTACTATATTACAGTCATTGGTTTCTTTTCCTGCCTGTTTTTATGAGATTGCAAGGTCCTCAGGGAAGGGGCTATGTTTTAATAATCTAGGTGGATGTAGGGCTAAGCATGAGACCTGGAACATAGCAGGTACTCAGTAAATACACATGGTATGAATAAGTGGATGAAAGGATAAACGTGAAACAAAATGAAGACGTGTGAAGCATCCTAGATAGAAGAACAAGTACAGTGCAGCAAGGTCTAGGGACAGGAATGATCACCGAGAGAAATAGGGGAGTCAGGGAAGGTTCCTTGGACAAGCATGCTGTTGGAGCTAGCCTGGAAACACATGTATGACTTAGTTATGTGGAGTCGCTGAAAGATGGGTGATGGGGATGAAGAGGGCACTCGACAGGGAAAATGTGAACAGTGGCACAGATTTGAGGAAGGGCAGAACTGAAAGCCACAGGGATGGGCTTTTTCAGACTATCTGTAGCCTGGCTCAGCTGAAGTTCAGTGGTGGGAATAAGTTCAGACCAGATTGAGGAGGCTAAGCTCTGGTCTGTCCTTAGAATTCCTCACTAACAACTTTCATCCACAATGTAACGGGAAGGGTGCCAAGTGGGAGAAGAACGAAGTGGTGGCAGAAAAAAAAAAAAAAAAGATGTCATTGAAGACTACTTTTAAAAGCAAATACCTGTTTTGATTTTGGGCAGTACTTTAGTATCTAGACTAAGTTTTTCTAAGACAAACTGTTTTCCAATGGAAATGTGGAAGAAGGAAGACCAGACTCCGCCTTTCCTTCTCCCTCCCTTTTCTTCTGGCTCAGTGTTCCCTCCTCCCTCCAGTGCTCAGTCCTACTCCCTCGTGACACCCCAGAAACTCCCCCATAAAAACCCTCTTGGGATGAAGCGGTCTTTATTTCCCATGACCAAGGGCCTCACCACACCTTTCCAGCCTGACTGCCCAACAGACACCACGATAGCCACAAGCTCGTGAGAGTTCACTTCCAGAGCATGCTGTCTTGACCTTTTTCTTTGAGATCCTTATAGCAACCTGGCCTCTACTCCAAACCTTCTGATTTATGACCCTCTCTGGCCTCAGATCCCTGTAAAAATCCTGAACAGCTTCAACTCGGCCTCCTTGGCCAGCTCTCCCCTTCCTCATCCCAGCTTGTCTGGGATCATGGCTTTGTTGTTTGACTGGGGAGGCAAGAGTCTAAGGAGTGGAGACCCCGAATCTACATAAACTTGCTTCCTCTTTTCAGTGCTTTGTCATCCTTCGTAGGGAGAATGAGGGCTGCATTCAGGACTGGTCCTTCCAGAACTCGCGGTGACCTTCAGTCCTTTTATAAATGCAATCAAACAGTATAATGTTCAAGGTTCCTTTGGCTTTGATTGTGCTGATAAAGTCTACTAGAAGACATGGAGCAGTTTTGAGCCTCAGTGAACAGGTATCTGTAAGATCCTTGGAGCTGCCAATATGAATGCAGTAGTACAACCATAGGGATTATCAGGATTCTGATGTGTTTGTATCTCCAAGTATCTGTTTTATGTCTGCACAGTTGAGGTTGGAGAATGTGGAGACATATCCCCTCAATGACGCTTGGTTTGCAAATAAGCGAGCCACTTTCACAGCAGTCCTTTTTCACATATCATAAAATTAACTCTGGGAAAAGATCATGGTACAGATATGTTTAGGCACTTCAGGCACGCCCAGAGCTACACTTCACGAGGCAACATTAGGTATCATCAGGCGTTAAAAATGTTTTGATTTTAAAACACTTAATGAGGATTCCCAGATAAATTAAGGCATCTCCATCTGCTGTCTTGCATAGTAGGTGATATTTTACCCTTGCACAATCATCTCCAAATCTAATTCCACCAGGAAGACTTCTAATCACAGTTTAATTTTAGAGCAATATTCCACTTGGCAATCAATAAGGTACTGTCGTCAAACTATGATTTAATAGGAGACGTGGATAACATTCTCCACATTATGCAGAGAGAGAAATACTTTGAGGAAAGGGAAAGAAGGAGAATAACTTTGTCTCCCACCTTCCCCTGCTGCATACCATTCTAGTTCACAAAAGCCTATAAATCAATACCCCCGTGTTGTGTGAATATAAATCTCATCAATTTTACATCATTAACAGCATGAAAAAGCAACCACTCTTTGAGCAATTTTCCTCCACCAGCTAAGTATGTCCGCTTAATAAAATAAGAATAAATGGATTCTACATCTTCCACTAACAGACATTTCCTTCCTTGCCAACTTTTTTTGGGGTCAGAATTCACTAGAATTACACAGTTGTCTTGCCACCAGTTAGGGGCTAGGGTGACTGGACAGTGACAACACCCTCCAAACATGACGTGCAGTGGTCAGTGTGCAACCTCGACAAGGCATGACCTAGAAGGAGAGTCCCAAGTGCAGTCAGAGAGGTAGATGAGGGATCAGAGTCTAGAAGGTTAAGGTGCAACAGCAAAATTCTACTGCAGAAATGATTCATGAGGTAAGAAGCCTAGAAAGATCACAGCACTCTGGGAATGAGCATTTTGGAAGGCCAAGGCCAGTGGTCCAGAACTAAGGTGATGACATCACAAATGCCCACTGACCTGAGAGACTGGCTGTGTGATTCACGGTCCTAATGGCTAATGGATCTGGGCGATGGGACAAGACCTTCCAGAACATCTACTCCAGAGATTCCCATCATGTTCATAACTAAGTTCCTTTGTGTCACATGTCTCCCTCCCTCTGTGGACTCGGTAATGGACAAGATGTTGTCCAACCAGAAAAAAAAAGGGTATTTGTAATCATTCACTTTCCTACTTGAATTATTCAAACCCATAACTAAATGCTGAAGAGAATCTTCTCTGAGTACAGCAGTAACCTGATACAATTCCAAAAGAACTTGGCATCTTCATTTGCATGCACATGTGTAGTCTTAATTAAGAGTAGTTACAAATTTCTTAGCTTAGCTTTTTGAAACATTGAAAATTGCTTATGACTTCTTTTTATTACCTTTAATGATGCAAGTAGACCCAGGACTTTGGGTTAGGAGCCCTTGATCTGGTACAAACTTCTCATTGAGTAGAAGAATAAGCAAAGGTCCAGAGAGGTGCGGGGAGTGCCTTGTGCTCACAAAGTGACTAGAATGAAAGGCTTTTATTCCTTAATTTAACAAAAAGACCCCTAATAAAGACTTTAAGCACATCATATAATGCCCAGCTGCCTATACAAGCTTTTACACAGAGCACTGTTTACTTGGGGTTGCTTTAAGTAGGTTTAATATAGGAAATTGTCCTAAAGATGATCATCACCAACAGGATGGCAAGCATTATTTGTTGAAGCTTAGATAATAAAGGTGGAGAGATCAGCTTCAAAGGATTACCAAATTACTGATCCACTATCCGATGTACCTGAGTTCAATGACTGGGTCAAGTACAGCACAAGGTTCTAGGAAGACAGGGTTGAGGCAGATGGAGCCTGGTGGGGCAGACAGACAAGGAATCAGGTAAATGCATCAGAGAAGGAAGGCCTTTGAAAGCAAGAGCCCAGGGAGTTGTGTGCAAGGAATCTATCAGGAATTGTGGTATCAGTAGACTGAAGCTCTATGGAATTATGTCTGCAGGGGAAGGAAAAGCTAGCCTCGCTCAGGGGAGATTTCACAGAGGTGGTGCTATTCAAATGTCCTTTGGTTAAAGTTTGTTTATTAATTTTGAGAGAGACAGAGACAGTGCAAGTGGGGGAGGGGCAGAGAGAGAATCCCCCAAGCTGGCAGTCCAGAGCCCAGTTGGGGGCCGAAATGCATGAAACCGTGAGATCAAGACCTGAGCCAAAACCAAGAGGTGGACACTTAACCGACTGAGCCACCCAGGCACCCCTCAGATGTCCTTTTGAAAGAGAATAGGACTCAGGCAAATGGATAGAAGAATGGGCAAACAGAGGGACCAGCCCAGGAAAAGCCTGAGAACTAAGCGTATCCACCTCTAGCCCAGATGGTGACTCTGGACAAGATAGAAGAAGGTGTTCATTCCCCGAGACACTCTGTCACTGTCTGTCAAAAAAAGGGTTGTCACCATACAAATGTATAGTTCTGTGACTGTGAATGGTGCCCTATACTTTTCCACCATGGCAAGCAGAGGCCCTGGGGATGGAAGTGTATTAAATATCAAGCTGGAACTTCAACGGGGCTGTCTCACGAAGATTGATGCAGCCGAAGCCTGCACCTTGAGCTAGACTGACTGGCTCTGGCAAGCTTGAAGGAAGCCACCACCACAGACGCTTATTCAGCATATGAGCAGTCCTGTTTATCTGCCTGGTCACAGCCCTAAGACCTTGGAGGGAAGCCTCCATCTCTCAAGGGCAGGCGCGGCTCTTTTTTCCTTCCATCTGGACCCAGCAGCTTTTCCAAAGCCCTTCGGGCCTGTTCACACGTAGCTGAAACACATCTCTTATTGATCAACAGCTCGAAGGGAAAGTCCCATGAAATATGTTCTTCCTTTTGTCTCTGATAGGCCCTTCAGCATCATCATGCTGTTCACGAAATCTCCTACATTGCAAAGGACATCACAGATCACCGGGCCTTTGGATACGTTTGTGGGAAAGAAGGGAATCACAGATTTGTTGCCATAAAAACAGCCCAGGCGGTGAGTATCCCCGTCCAAGGAGGGCCCCTTTCCTTGTAGCTTCAGGGGACAGTGCATACAGTCACACTGCTGGTGTTTGAAGGCCACCTCCGATGTAAGACGGAGCGATGCTGACGCTCTGATAGCCTCCGAGTAGGGAAATATGGTCAGGCCCATCCGGTCTGGTTGTTTTTTTCTAATGGGTATTTTGTAATGACTAATTATTTTCCTTTCTGATTAAGCTGGATGGAGGCACACTACACAAATAAGTTTCCTTGTGTTCATAGCCTCATTTACAAAGAAAATAAGAGAAAACAAATAGCTGTTTTGCATAAGGCCTACCCTGATTTTATTGTATTTGGAATTACTAATAAATAAAAGCAGTGCCTTTTATGCTTATGATTATTATGAATTTGCAAATATAATTAGTCGAAGAAATGAACTTTAGCCTAGATGCAATTTGCTAAACCAATATAAACAAGGTGGAATTAATTAAAGATGGAATGCTCTCAGTGTAACAGGAAGCGGAAGGGCTGCGGAGGGGGGGAGGGTACCAGGCGAAGACAGAAGTGGGCCGCATGGCTCAGCACAATTCCCTTACTAATGCACTTCGTCCCACCTTCTACTCCAGGCTGAACCTGTTATTCTGGACCTGAGAGATCTCTTTCAACTGATTTATGAATTGAAGCAACGAGAAGAATTGGAAAAAAAGGCACAAAAGGATAAGCAGTGTGAACAAGCCGTGTATCAGGTATACCTGTGAATTGACCCGAGTACCAGGGAAGACTAGGACTTAAAATACACAGATGTGAAAACCGACAGTCAGGTCCTGTCCTCCCACTGCCAAGCAGACATAAACAAAGATGCAAAGTTCCCGGGTAAATTTCAGGGACCGAGAGCAAGTCGTTAGAGGTGATCTTTTATTCTGTGACATTCCGAACATGAAAGAAAGTCTTGAATCCCGAGGAAGATTTCTGGGCAGGAGAACAGAAGAAACGCAATTGCTTTTGCTATTGTTGACAGTGGGCGTGGGGGGGAAGGGTGGCTGCTTTTTTTTTTTTTCTTCCCTGTGTGCTTTCTCCCTGAAATGACCCAGCAGCCTGTCCTACCCAGAACTAGTTTCTTTACTGTCCTGTAATTTCTGAACAGAGTCTCACACCTCTTCCTTTATATCCTCTGCTTTTCAACCTCCCTTCTCTCGCTCTGCTGTAGACAATTTTGGAAGAGGATGTTGAAGATCCTGTATACCAGGTAATTTCTGAAACCACTTGGGGTTGTAGGATCAGGAATTGCGAGGCCTGTCTACAGACACTTTGTCAGAGCCCTGAAGAACCCCTGACTGTAGAGCCTGGAGAAGGGACCCAGATTATTTCTGAGGATGAGGCCTCCCAGCCTCTCCAGGAGTGAATTTCCATAAAAAATGAGCAGAAGTTCGGCTGGCATCCATAACTCGGGATTTTGAGACACGCTTCCCACTTCTTGCCCCTGCCCAGCCCCCTCCACCATCTGTATAAGTTTGATTCCCAGATGTGGATGTTATCAGGAGTCACTTGTATGTTCCAAGTTCATGAGGAGGCTTCTCTGAGTTAGGAACCAGGGATGGGGAGTGAGTTTGGGCTACATTTGAGAACAAGCCCAAAGGGCAGTCTGTAAGCTTTGGGAAGGCTGTGGGGAGAAATCTGTCTGGCCCCTCTGATTGTCTGGCTCACACCATAGGGGCCGCTGGGAGGAGAGTAACGGAGATCCTAGAGATGTCCCAGCCAGTAAGTGTCCCTGGGCTCTCAAGGTTGCAGCCCAGGCGTGGCTGGAGATGACTTCTCTTGGAGTATGTGCTCTGTACAAACAGATGCAGAGAAAAGGGAGGAGGACGCCTCCCACCACCAACCCCAGCCCCACCCATGCTTATTCCCAGGAGAGGAAGGAGTGAGAAGATGGGCTTGTAGGGCTAAAAGAAAACCTGAAACTTATGAGTTACATGTGTGTGTGTCACACATGCCTATTTCCACACAGAAAGCTGGTACAGCTATGACAAAAATAAAATCATATGGGTAAAATAAATAATATAATACGAATAACACCAAGTAGAGATTTCTAGTACATGTGACCAACAAAAGCCAAAGATGTGCCTAATGGCATGCCCTGGCTATGGAACGCTGAGGGTGAGAATTTGTCTAGAATGTGAACTCTGCCCTGTTTATCTGGTGCCCAGAGAATGAAGACTGTCACCCTATTTGAAAGGACCCAGTCCTTCAAAGTCTGAAACATGCACAGGGAAAAAGAAGGTGATTTTCAGTATTTAAAACTAAGAATGTAAAATAAGGTGCTATTTATGGGATATGGAGGTTTGGGGTTTCTGAGCACTTCAGAGCTGAGTTGGGAGCTTTAGGGTAGCAAAGGGGGGCAGCAGATGTAACCCAGATTATGAAGTTGGGATCCCAGATGTTCCCAGGAGACGTCATTCCCACTCAACAACGAAGCACTTGCAGACCTTACAGAGACAAAATGCCATTGAATGAAGAAGTTACATCTTCCTAAAGATAAGCAGGGGTCCATGCAATCACTCCTATACCACTGACCATCAGACCCTTGCTATTTTTGTTAGAAATGGCCGAAGTGTGCAAGGCACCTGCAGTATTTCAGGAATCCACTTGTCTCTTGAGGGTATTTTCTGTTGTGACTATTTCTTTAATGCTCACTGTGATTTGTATCCTGAATTCCAAATGCCTTTTTTTTCCTCTCTTCTTCCCCTCTGACCTTTCCTCTCTGGCTGCTCCGTAATAGTACATTGTGTTTGAGGCTGGACACGAGCCAATCCGTGATCCCGAAACGGAAGAAAACATTTATCAGGTATAAAATCGCTTCTCTCTCTTACCGTAATACCAGTAGATGCTCCGAACCGAGGGCACTCCCCTCACATGGTCACACAGCTCTTTCTGCCATTCAGGCTCATGGACGATACCTTCGTGTGGTTGGCTTTTCCCAATTGACCAGAAGTTTTCACACCTTGTTGTAGAAATGCTTAATGGCCAGTGGAGTGCGATGTTTTAATTGTTAATGGACCTTAACTATGTCCAACTGACTTAAGAATCAAACGTTGCATTTTACTAAGGTAACCCATTGGAGGGTTGTTATCCATGATACCGAAGGGTCCTTCACTTCTCAAAAGACTGGGTTCATCACGTTTCTTTAAAAAGCACTACTGAAAATAAGGGACAAATTCCAAAACAAACGCCTTTGGAACACAGCACTGGAAATATTAACTGAATGAAAGGAAATATTGCTCAAGGTGTGACTCCTCCTGAAGGGAAGGTAAATTAATATTTTTCAATGTCTGCTTCTGTGACAAACCCCACACACACGTTTTGACTCACTTCATTCTGACAAACTATAAAGCAGGTATTTAATCCCACTTTTATGAGAGGAAACTGAGACCCAGAGAAGTCGAGTAGCTTCCCCAGGGGCTGTACAGCCATTTAGAGCAGAGATCAGACCCAGTGTGAGTAAAAGCAAGACTCACACGAACTCCCCCATGCTTGCCCATCAGAGTTTGAGAAACTTCACCATAGCAACACATCAGACAAATATGACAACATCCAATTTGTTACTAATTAGAAATTCAGCCTTAATTTGAAATATAAACATTATGGAAGAAGGGGAACAAATTTAGCATATTTAATAAGTGATTTTAATTTTCTTAACTCACTCAGTTGTGTGGTCTGCTATTCTGCCTTGGGCATGCACTACTTGTGTAATGAAAGTAAAACAGATTTTCCGTTTCCATCAAATGCACAGAACTGTAAATGACCAAAGTATAACATCAGTACTACCAATAGCTCAGTGTAAACCAGCCCCGTGGAGTAATAATCTTCAGTATTTCTCTCCACTGGGTCAGTCTGGATTGGATGCAAGTGTGACGTTGTGCTCTGGAGTTTTGTTTAAAATCAGTGCTCACACAGTTTCCAACTTCAAATGGAAAACTTACATGTTTGTTCTCAGATTTTAAATTATTACAACCTTGTGGTGTCTGAATATGAGGCCAAAGGAACCATTAACCAGTCATCCTCTGAAGAAAAAGCACCTTGTAAGACAAAATGGGGCTTCTCAGTGCAAGGTTTCTGAACCTGACCACGCCATTTTAGTGGGCACCCACCGAGCCCCATGGGAGATAGCTGAGGGTGCAGGACAGCCTGTGTGCAGGAAGAACTGGTCTAGGCAAGCAGAGCATGGGGTTCCAGTTCTGACTGCACCACCAACTGCCTTCGGCAGAGTGGTGGTATGCAAGACACTTGTCTTCTCGGAGCCTCAGTTTCCCCAGTGGTAAGATAGGGGAGTAGTTTCACTGTAACTCACACATTGGCATGAGAATGGAGCAAGATCGTGTGAAGGATGTAAAGAAGAGGCTTCATCCTGACTCACACAGTGTATGGATTCAGAATCATAGTACAAGTACCAACTCAAGTTCCTTTCCTTCTCTGAGTCTCAGCTTACTCATCTGTAAAACAAGCAACTAAGACTGAAGTATCTCCTAGGCAAGGTCCTTGGCTGCTTTTTGCAACTACTGCCTATCATAGGACAGGGATTCTTTAAAGAAACAGGTTCACTTACTTTACAGGGCAACAAGACCCTTAGAAAGTGTGTGTGTGTTAACATTTATTGAGGGCTGACGTCTACATGCAATACCTTATCTCTCACAACAAGACTGTGGCTTGCACCATCATTCCCACCTTCCAGACAGAACCCCGAGACTCACACAGATAAGGTGTCTTGCCCAAGGTCACAGGGCTACAAGAGACGGAACCCCCACTCCCAGCCAAGTCTCTCTGCTTCCGGTAAATGCATGAATCCCAAGGCTCTTCTCAGCCCAGAATATCCTGACGCAGAGTTTCATGATTAGATTCCGTGTAGGCTCCAAGTCACTATCTAAAAATCACACTTGTTTTTAACAGTTGTGACCTCCGGATCTTCCCAGCTGTCCATCATTAGCAGGAAGGTACCATTTAAGGAAATGAATATTTTATCACCCTCTGTTCTCCTCTCTTGCTATGCCAGTCAGCTGGGCCTCAATTTGCTTAACTCGAGATAAGCTCTTGGGCCCAAAGATAAGGCTGAGCTTTTAAGGAGCTGTGATTAGGAGCCTCACTCTTCTTTGTGCTTCAAGGGCCAATGAGTATTCCACAGCTATTCCTCCTGAGAAGGCTGCAGTGTTTCTTAGTCTTCAGCTTGGCCCAAGGTAGTCTCAGATTTTAAATTTTTTTTAAGTTTATTTCTGAGAGAGAGAGACAGCGTGAGCATGGGAGGGTCAGAGAGAGAGGGAGACACAGACTCCGAAGCAGGCTCCAGTCTCTGAGCTAGCTGTCAGCACAGAGCCCGACACGGGGCTCGAACCCATGAACCGTGAGATCATGACCTGAGCCGACGTCGGACGCTTCACCAACTGAGCCACCCAGGTGCCCCAGATTTTAATCCATTCCCTGCTTTCTGGAATGAGGCAGACAGACCCAGGGCCTAATCCTTTAGCTGTTTTGTGGCCTTGGATGAAGTACATAACTTCTCTATCCCAATTTCCCGGGCTATAAAATTAGGAATGCTGTATTCTCTGCTTCCAGAAGTGATGTGAAGGCATACTGCGCTTGATACATAGTAGGTTCTGGGTAAATGTTAGTTCCCTTTACTTCCTGAGAATATTGTCAGCATCAGATGCTGCTCAAGAGGTCCTATGATGCTGTATTAAGTGAGGGAGAACCTGACTCGCTCACCTCATCTCGTCAGGGAGCCTAGCGGAAAGTTGCCACCTCAATTGACTTGGCTGTTTATAACTCCTGCATAAGGGAGGGAGAGACTCTTGCGTAAGTGTAACCTCTCTTTGAGGGTCAGCAGTGTCATTTTCCAAACCGGATTAATAATAATAATTGTCTTTCTTTTCGTGTGCATCAGAAAAAGCTATCAGTCATCTTTTTAAAGCAACGCAGAACCTTGCAGTACAAGGGTTTTTCACACCTCATCTAATTTTGACCCTTGCATTGACTCAGTAAGATATGAAGAGCTCTGATGACTATCATTCTAAACGGAGGGAAATCAAGCCCTCCGGTTTAAGTGCTGAGCCCAAGGCCAGAGCCTCAGCTTCAAAACCTGGTAATTCTTCAGTACGTCAGCAGTAACATGAGGGCAAGATTGCAGCTTTCCACACAGATATTCTTTGAGTTCTTTGGTTCGAAAATAATTTTTAATTGCCCATGACGTGTCAAGTATTGTTATTTTAAAATGACAAGTCTCTACTCCGACGGCACTCAACCCTGAAACTGCCTCTCTAACACTATTAGTATGTTACTGAGCTAAAAGTGTCTACTGTACATACAGTACTTAACGTATAGCTTTTACAGTAGTTTAACATCTATTAACGGCTTCATTCAAGAAGCTATTATGTATGGAGCACCTAGTGTGTGCTGGGCACCTTGGTATATGACAGACCACGACATGGTCCCCACCCTCAGTCAGCAGCCAGATGAGAAATCGGAGGCTCAGAGAACAAAGGGACCCTCTGAGGACACACAGCCTGTGGCAGAGCCAGGATTAGGAACCAGATCTCCCACTTCTTTTGGTTGAGACCCGTCATCACTCTAAAATGTCATGTCACTGAAATGGACCAGCCAGGCAGGGGTGAGAGCCAGGACACGAGGCTCTTCTGGTCTTTGTCTCCTAAACACTCCTGCCCTTAGCACATGCATGGTAAGCGTTCAGTCCTTAAACATTTCCTGTTTAACCAGTATTCACGGATAGGGGAACAGGTTAGCAAAATACCTGCCCTGCCCTGCCCTGCCCAAGCTTACAGCAGCGACAGTGTGGGTTGATATCTCCTGTATGAGATAAAGCACTTTTGACACTCATGTGAGTAGCCCAATTACTTTCTCACCTCCTCCCAGTAAAACAGGGAGCTCCATTCAATAGGGGGCTATATCCAGCTTGTTCGCCACCACTGTCCCTGGCAAACCAGAGTCTGATACATAATAGGTGCTTGACCACTTTTATTTTTTTAGTGGAAGGATGTACCAGAGGTTACAAGAGTCCAGAGGAAGGCTCCAGCCGAGTAGAAAGCCAGGCAAGGCTCCCAAGAATGTATCCGGGTGACATAAATCTTAAAGGACAAACAGGCAGATTGATATGTCACCCATGGAAGAGCCAAGCAGCAAAGCTTTTTCAATTATGCACAGTTTGGGTTTATCCATCCCGCCGCTTCTCCTCCATTTGCAGGGATAATTGAGAGTCAGCTGAGGTTCAACTTGCTAAGTGCCCATAGTGAGCGGTGAATTACGGGGAACAGAAATACTGTTCGTGTTGCTCAGGAAAGGGTGAGCCAGTAAAAATACAAGTGCGGGTTGGTAATTTATTGGCCCTTGTTAACAAGGACTGTGTAGTCATTCTTAGAGGATTCCTTTTAGAGGGAGCCGAGTAATCAGGAGCAAAGAAATTACATTCTTCATTGGCTACCTGCAAACTAGGGTTTGCAAGAACAGCTCAGAAAGTACATCTTCTGCTCGTCCATGCTCCCTCCTAGTCCTGTTTCCTGCAGCAGTGTGCAGAACCTTCTGTGAGTGTAGAATATGATGTCCAAGAAAAAGGTGCAGTCAAAACAGCTAGGGTACAGTGGGAACAGGGGTTAGAGGCAGCTGTCTATACCATGTAGTAGTTAAAAAGAAAACTGCCAGAACTCAAACTCTGGCAGCCCCAGTCACCTGCAGGATGCTCTCTGGGCTTTATTTCCCTCCTCTGCAACATTGTGACAGTTGTCATCCTTGCCCAACTGATTTGTCCTGAGGACTTCATGAGAATACGTGTAAATACAAACATTAAGAATAGTGGCTAGCACATAGGAAGTGCCCTGTCAATGTTAGTTCCGGCTGTTAGTAACAAATGTTGTTTTTTTTTTTGGTAGCCAGAAAGAGCTGGGTTTGAATCCCATCACTTAACTAGCTTTGAAGCTTTGGAAAAGTTTCTCTGACATCTCTGAGGTTCACTTTCTACCACGTAAAGTGAAGATTCTAATACTGAGCTCTTAAGATTGTTAGAAGGATTTTAAGCGAAGGTGATGAGAGTGGAAATAGCAAAGATGCTCAAGGAATGAGCCCAAATTCTTCCTTCTTGTTAATGGTATAGTTAGCTGGTCCAAGCCTAAAAGACACTTTTTCCTTTTCTTCACTGTTCCCTGCATTTCTTAGGAAACATTTACCCACCAGACATTTACTAACTGCCTACTGAGTATCTAGGCACTGTGCCTGCTCGTGAGGAGCTCCCAGTCTGATGAAAAGAAACACAGATTAGCAGGCAGTTAGAAGACCACTGGAGGCTGATGCCTCGGATGGAGGTGTGAGCTACGCCGTGCCAGTTGCTGGGAAGCACAACTGATTGCTTTCAATCCAGAATGTTTCAGTGTAACACCCCTGACTGGCCCATTACAAAAGCATCCAACCTATCTACTGTCGTTAATATTATAAAATACGTTCTTATCCTTATTTATATAATGTGTCAGCAGTAAAAGAAACTCTCATTCTAACACTTTACAGTATTATAGTTCCTAATAGTTTGTATTTGCTGTCTACTTTCTCATTTCATCCCCCCAGTAATCCAAATAAGAAGAAGAGCCAATAACACCCATTTTATAATCGTGACAGTCAGAGGAGCTGTGACCATTCAGGGTGTGGCAGTTACCAAGTGGCCCGATAAGACCAGGCAGATGAGTAAGAGGAGAGAGGGAGGGAAGCAAATACAGAAACATATTAAAACCATTGGAATTTTCTGAACCCTTGTCTTGCGCTCTCCCTGCCATTAATGGTCCCTTTTCTTGGAAGACACTTTTGGTAAATATCAGATGACTTGTCCGCGATCCCAGCAGAAGCTGTTCTTTCTACTAAGCCCTTGATGTTTGCTATAATTTAAAGGACCGGCTCTCAGCTTAATCTCAGCTGCAAACTAATTTTAATCGCTTTGGCCAAGTCAGAGCACCTCTCTGAGTCTCATTTCTGTCTTTGGTGAGATGAGGATTATTTTTTCTGCCACGTGACCTCTGAGGTCTCTGCAGCTTCCTATCCAGTGTTTCTGTGAGGAGCCTGATGGTAGAGACATCCTGCGCACACTTGTCAAGTGACTCACACACTCCTCCCTCATCCGGCTTTCCTCAGGGAAGGAGCCTGGCCTCTTACTTCACTTGTCGCAGCCCCTTTGATTTGGGATCCTCAGGCCTCAGGGGCCATTCTCATACACGCTAAGCCAGCTTGAAGTTGAAGTGTGATCGCTTTGTTCTCTGAAAGTGGAGTATCAAAGTGTTCTGACTGTGTCACATTTGATTTTTCCATAGGTTCCCACCAGCCAAAAGAAGGAAGGTGTTTATGATGTGCCAAAAAGTCAACCTGTAAGTGTAAGTATATCTTCTCCCTTCTGCCAGGTTCCCACGACCTGCATTCCTACAGACTGTGTCTACAGCTTGAGGAAGGGAGCCCCTCTTCTGGAGAGGTGCCGTAACTTAGAGAGCTTTGCCAGAGCCTGCATGATAAGGACTCTCAGGGAGTCAGAGGGAAGGAGGTATAAGTAATGGTGGGGCTGGGGAAGGGATGCCAGTTTGGACCAAGGTCTGGCCCCATGCGTGGCCGTGACTTGACGTGTGCAAACCACTGTGTCTAAGGGTCTCAAGGTCTCAGTTATTCTGTGACAAAAGTCTCCAGCCAAAGACCCTATTGTACGTGATCTGTTAGGGAGCAGTGTCTCGATCCTGGGAAGAGAGCTGCCCATCCACTTTAAAAGCGGTTGACAGGTCTCAGAGGGATCATAGAAGAGCTGGCCAGGGCCTTTGGCGTGTATAAGGGTCCACCAGTGGACAGACCACCATGAAGAATGCCATGTGCAGCAGGCTTACAAAGAACCGAGAAGATCCTTGGGGCGCCTGGGTGGCTCAGTCGGTTGAGGATCTGACTTCGGCTCAGGTCATGATCTCACAGTTTATGGGCGTGAGCCCGGCATCAGGCTCTGTGCTGCTTGGAGCCTGGAGCCTATTTCGGATTCTGTATCTCCCTCCCTCTCTGACCCTCTCCTCACACTCTCTCTCTCTCTCTCTCTCTCAATTCAATTGTTTTGAATTAAAAAACAATTCAAAAAAATTGTTTAAATAAATAAAGAACCCAGCAGATCCACGATCCACTGTATCTGGACCATATCAGCCAGTGAGACTCCCGGAAATGGAAATGCCAAGCTCTGTGGTACTGTCACAAGTCAGTGCTTGGCCAGGCCCCTATTTAGGAAGTCCAGGTGGCCTGCAGAAGGCAGCCTCTGTACATGATTCAGGAGCACTGGGGACTCTTGCTCAGGAGGATATAGGACTTCACCATGGCCCATGTAAAAAGAACTAGGATGTTTAGTCACCACTGATCTCCTTCAGCTCAGCAGTGGGTAGGGAGAGCACAGGCTTTGAAAACACACCCTCAGGAACTCCAGCTCTGACCTTAACAGGACTGTTGTGAGTCTAGATGACAATCTGGGATGTTGTTATTGGTCCTGGACCCCACCCTGTGAGAGACACACAAAGACACATCCGCATTTTTCAAGGTCAGATTGATAGGGCAGTTTGAAACCCCATTCCCAGGGCAGCAGCTGAAGGACGTAAAACACTTGGCCTGGAGAAAAGGAACTATAAATATGGAGATGGAAGTCTCAAGGGCCACAGGTTGGACGTGGGGTTACACTGTTCTGTACTGGCCAGCCCAAAGTGACAGTGACCTTTCTGAACAGTTGTTAAGAGTTAGAGCTGTTAAGTGGTCGGGACTGTTAAGAGTTAGAACAGCTGGCACCTAGGGGAGTGAGCTCCCCATCACTGGAGCTATGCAAGCAGAGCCTGAAAGTCCACCTGTCAGAAAACTTATGGGAGGATTCAAATGTGGAGTGGGTAGAGGGGAAAGAGGAGCTTCTCTTGGCCCTTCCAAACCTGACCTTCTGTCCTGAGTTGAGAGTCTTTCTGGTTCATTCTTACCCTCCTCTGCCCCTGTTCCCTTTTTACCTGGTGAAGTTTCTTCCTATCAGTGTCCATTCCTCTACCCAATATCCTGCAACCACCAGACCCCACCTAAATCCTGCTTCTGAAAGCCAACGTGAGTTAAGTCTCATGAAACAGCGTATTTGAATGCAGGGTCCTCCTCACAAACTTGAGTCTACAAGGTAGTAGAGAGCGTGCAATGAAGTACCACTTGGAGAAAAAGCCATTTTTCTCCCCGAGGCCTCTGCAGTTGTCAAGCCTCCCTGTCACGGAGACACTGGTCTGTTCTTTGTGTTTCCGTTTGGCTCAGCCCCCATCCCACAGTTCCCTACAATTCAATTTGTGCCTAAATTGCCTCGCTTGCCCCTAACAGGTTTAGATACGTGAGGAAACATGCTCCATTTGCCACCTTGGTTTTCATGAATTTATTAACCAGTCTGGCCACACCGTCTCCATGCTTAATAGCTGGGGGGAGAGGAAAAAAAAAAAAAAAAGCCCAAGCTCCTTAGGCTGACACAGCACTCAAATGCCAGTCTCAGCCCTGATCTCTGGTCTACCTCCCCCTGGTCCAGCTCTGCTGAACTCTGAAGCCTCCTGAAGGAGCTGCATCCTCTCCTAATAGCCCAGCTTAGCTTTAGGCTTTGGGGGCTCAGGGAGACTTTGTGCTCTTCTGCTCAGCGTCAGCAGATCACCCCTACCTCTTTGCCCCACTCCCTATCTTTCCTCTATGAAGAGCATTTAGCCCATAGCATCCCATCCCCCCTCTTCTCCTAGCTCATTACTTCCAGGAGCTTCTGGAGGTCCTTGGGTTCCAAGAAGCAAGCCCAGGGCCTGCCATGTAAAAGCCAGGGATGACACAGCCACTCTAGGAATGTTTAATAAATATATAGATGACTTTGCCCTGCAGAAGGAATTGATGAAAATCCCTGGCACTTTCTTTTAAAAGGAATTCCCTGTTTTTCTGCCTCTGAAATAGGCATTCAGTGAATATGCTAAGGTTTTGCTTGGGAAATATCTGGGCTGCCTGAATGGCTGGCAGTAGCTTCCAACCCTCTGCTCCCACAGAGTCCTAGAAGCATCTGGGGTGATGCTGACTTTTCCATAAACACTTTCACCATTTCTAAAAGCCCAAGAGAGGTAGCAAGTCAAAAGCATCAACTCTAGTGAGTGCAGATGCTTGCATTTGGTGTCTCCGCTCCTGTTCTTACTACCTGTAGGACTTCTGATAAGTTCCCTTGTTTCTCTGTGCCTCCCTGCTCTCGTTTACCAAAGGAGTTACTGAACCCAGCATACCGAATGATTCTGAGGAGAAAATAGTGTATATATTGGAAACTTGATCCCACTTTCCTAAAGCTCCCAAAGGTTCTTTTTTTAAAAAATTTACTTATTTCTGAGAGAGAGAGAGACATACACAGCATGAGCAGGGGAGGGTCAGAGAGAGAGGGAGACACAGAATCTGAAACAGGCTCCAGGCTCTGAGCTAGCTGTCAGCACAGAGCCCAACACAGGGCTCGAACCCACGAACCGTGAGATAGTGACCTGAGCTGAAGTTGGATGCTCACCCGGGCGCCCCTCCAGAGGTTCTTGAAATGTCCCACAGCCCTCATCCCTCACTGTTCTGGGATCTTCCTGTCCTCCTGGCTGGCCGCTGTAGACCTGCCTCCCTGATGAGTGCATATTCCCTGGGATACCTGTGCTCTGGAACTCTCTGTTGTGAACTCACTCTTTGCTCCCTCACCACCCACTCCTTAGCCGGAAAGACAAATAAACCAAAGACAATGAAATCAGTGCATATTAAGCAGCTTCCAGACAGGCTGAGAGCTTCCACAAGTTTCCCACAAGAAGGGAAACTGCCCAGTGGCCTGTTCCTGTAGAACCACTGGTCCCTTCTTCCTTGGGTCCAGGTCTACCCAGAACCTGTAACAGTTAGGACTGTCACTGGGGAGAACCACAAATCAGGCTGATTTGTGAAGAAATGGCCAGATCTTCAGCATCAGACCTGGGCATGCTCTCATCCTGGCTGCCTACTAAGGGTCCTTGAGCATTTTTTCGATCTCTAAACCTCAGCAACATAATCTCTAAACAGAAAGTAATGCCTGCCCTGTAACTTTGTTTGGAGGATTAAAGGAGGCATTTATGTAAAACCCTTAAAAGGGGAAATGGATTAGATATAATGAGAACATTAACATTGGTCGTCTGTACAACCGGTCCACCAGCCAACAGTTCACCCTGAGCAGGCGATTACAGGTATGCTAGGTGATTGCACACCTCCTCTGGGAAGGCTTTTTCACACCAGAGTAAACAGCCCCCCTGGGAGACCCCAGTGCTTCTCTGTGCGATGAACACAATGCAATATCACTTTTTCTTAATGAATCCATGTGAACCATTGAACTTTGAATTTCTTAAAGGCGTTGCTTTGGGGTTGATGGCAGTACCTGCCTTAGAGTTTCTGTGATAAAGACTGAGTGAGCTGAAGGATATGAATCAACACAGTGCTTGGGACAGAATAGGGATTCAACAGCTGTGAGCTGTTACTCTTCTATTCTGTGAGCTCTGTGAGATCAGGAATAGCTTTTAATCATCGCTGTCTCTAAAGAACTCCTCTGGGGGGTTCTGATCCCTTTGAGCTTTTAATGGTATACTCTTTCCCCATGGTGGGGGGTAAGGGGGTCGGGGAATCACATGTGCCCATATACATTTTTACAGGCCTTGAAGTCAATGGGATGCAGCTCTAAAACCTCTGTCCTAGAGTCTTAGTCCCTGGCTCCTTGTCACCTTACATGGCAAAAGGTGTCCTCATTAAGGTGTCACATTTGGTGTATTGGATTCCAGAGTTTGGGGCAGAAATTAGAATTCATTGCATATCTTGTGGTTCTTACCTGCCTCAGTGCATCGCCTTATGGGAACACAGTTTTGTCTTGATCAGTTGGACTGCAGGTCCAGACAGAAAGCCAATTCCATCTCTTTACTTTCCTCTCCAACATTCGTGCATCCGTGCCCTAGTTTACCCCTCCCGGTCCCATAACCTTAGGGTACTAAGCTTTACCAACCCCTTTCTTGTTCCCTTTTCACAAATAATGTGTTAGGATGCTTCTGTTTGCCTGTCCTAATCTGGACCTATAATGTTCCCTTCGTGTAGCAGATTTGTTCTTAGGGTTATACTACACTGCCCTCCACTCTTACCTAGGACTCTGAGCCAAGATAAGGATTAATCCCATTCACTCCCAGAAATATACATTTCCTCCCTTCCTATGCAGCTGGAAGATCTGCACACAGGCTTCATTTTTATGCCAGGGTCCCCAAACTCCAATAGCATTGATGCTTTCTGATAGGGAATATTAGCTGGCTCAAGAGGCAGGGAGGAAAGAACGAATGACTTGGGCATAGCCTGGAAG